TGTAGGCTTTTTCTTTTCTGGCATGTAACTCCATGAAATCTATTTTCAGACAATGATATTATGTAACAAAAATATAAAAGCCAAGCAAATGATTTAATATAACAAGAAAATTTAGATATCTATCCTTTTAAATGTATGGAAAATTATTTTTTAAAATAATAATAAAACAATACTGTATTTTTTCAAATTATTCATTTCTCAGGATAATATTATTAAAATAAAATTCCTTTCACTCTTGTTAAATGAATGTGAATGCTTAAAGATGAACTATGGTGCAAAAATTCATTTTTCAGAAATTAGCAAAAATAGAGCATCACTTGACTAGGACTAAAGGAAACATTTGATGTTCTAAAGATAAATGGCTATGCTATTTAAGACAAAATATCAAATTTAAAAATTTGTTAGGATAAGATACAGTATGCCATACCATTTCAGAAAGAAAATATAGAGTAAATAGTGAATAAAAGCAGAAATTTGAGCCAGGCAGTGGTTACACATGCCTTTAATCCCAGAACTTGAGAGGTAGAAGCAGGCAGTGAGTTCAAGAGCAGCCTGGGGTACAAAGTGAGTTCCAGGACAGCTAGGACAGTTACACTGAGAAACCTTGTTGTGAAACACCAAAACAAGCAAAAGCAAAAGGTTGGTGGGACTTTTGGTTGTTTAACAAAGAGCAAAATTACTAATTTACTTACTGGATTTTAATGAGTAAAAAATATGCTGTAAAATGAGAGATATAAATGAAAGAATATTTAAAGTGAATCTAATAAATTCATGTAATGGCATATGATCAATGAAAATATTGTGAAAAGGCAAAAAGACTGAAAAGTATACTACATGACATGGTAGCATTCAAAATTAAATGAAAATTAGAATTAATTATATATGCAAGCAACATAAAATATTACAGTAACCTAATAATGCAAGCAACTTATAAATAAATATCACAGTAATATAATAATACATTAATTGTAATTTAATAATATCCAGTTTAATTTAAATATTGGCTTATATTTCAACTTTCTCAAATTAATAGGAAACTCTTAACATAAGCAAAAGATGAAGGTAAAAAATGAAAAAACGATGTAATAGTGTTCTATCATAAGATGACAATAACCATTATTGGAGATGAAGAAAAGTATTAAATAATGACAAACTGATATGCCAACCACTAAGAATGTTTCATTAGGTATTGTGTACCTCAAAATAAATGAACAAATAATAAATCATAGACTTGGAAGACAGGAATTTAATCCCAAATGGCACCTATATATCTCTGCACCATACCACAATCAGCAGATCTATGAAGTTATAGAAATACTTAACCTGGAGAGTCAATATAGGCATTCACTCACATACTCACCTATGTGAACCCTAAAGGGTTATATTCTTATATTCACCTGGGAAATTTCCTCAGAACTATACTAATATTTCCAAGTGTTTAATTAGAAACTATCTAACGCTGAGCTGTCTACACAATAGCCATGATAGCCCCTAGTTATGCTTGTGCAAGATATTCAAAATGTAGCTATTCAAGTTAAAATTAATTAAAAAATAAATATAACATAAAATGAGTTCTCCATTCATAGGAGTAATATCCACAGTCATGTGTCAACATCATTGAAAATTCCTTTCAGTTTATCAAAAAAATCAGTAAATTATCAATATTTTGAAGCAGGTAGCTTTTAAATCTGAAGCAGATTTCTAATTAATGATTCGACAAAGAATATCATAATGCTTTTCACAATTAAGAATTATAAAAAGGTAGCAACATTTATGAAAAATTGATTTATTCAAAGGCAACATTACAGAAGAGATTTTAATATAAACATGAAACCATAAAAGAGTAAAATCAGAAAAGCAAAACAAGTTGAAATTCTCAACAAATGAAACAGTAAGCAGAAAATAATAAACTACAAAATTATGACCAAGAACAAAATTCCAACAAAAATGGTCAATAAAGACCAAAGTCACTTTCATTGAGGAAACAGAAAGCCAAGCATGGTGACACATGCCTGCAAACCTGTGCTCTCAAGACACAGAGTGATTGCTGACAGTTTCATGTCAGCACTACACAGGGAGACACTGACTCCAAAATGAACCAAGAAGTTCTGGGATGGTTCAGCAGGTAGATGTATTCGCCACCAAACATTTTTACCTAAGTTTGAACCCTGACTCCCACATGGTAGAAAGAGAGAACCAACTCCTGTAAACTATCCTCTGACTTCTGTTCATGTGCAATGGCTTGTACACACACACACACCAAAACCACACAGCATAAATAAATGTAAGAGACTTTAAAAACAGTGAAAAGAAACAAAAGACACATGGCATATATTAAAGGCCCTTGAAGATGTATTAAGAAGGTGTAAATATTTTGTCTGTATTTAAATTTTTTTCATTATAAGTTTTACACACCTAAGACATTGAAACTATATTAAGAAATATTTTCAGGAACATTGTCAAGTATGTTTCAGGAGGCCGTAGTCACCATGATCCCTAAAGCACAAAAAGACTCAACAAAGGGTGAAAATTACAAACCAATTTCCCTTGTGAACATGGATGCAATAGTATTCAATAAAATACTTACAAACTGAATCCAAGAACACGCCAATAAGATCACCCACTAGGATCAAATAGGCTTCATCCCAGAGAGGCAGGGATGGTTCAACATACAAAAATCTGTCAATGTAATCTACCATATAAACAAACTGAAAGAGGAAAAACCACATAGTCATTGTAGTGATTTATTAAAGCTTGACTGAGGATACAGAACAGCAAAGTCAGCCTCAAACCATAGAGATCAGGCAGTGGTGACACATGCCTTGAATTCCAGCAGCTAGAAGTTAGGAGGTGGTGGTACACACCTTTAATCCTAGGACTAAGGACTAAGAGATAGACAGATATCTGTGAGTCCCAGGTCACCCAGATATAAAAAAAACATGAATTAGTCTAAAAGAGAATTATACCTCACACCTTTATTCCCACCATTGGGGAAGAAGCAAGGCCGCACTCAGTATGAGGCAATCATTCTCAGTCACACTAAGAGGTTACAGTCAGGCTTGGTGAGAGCTCGTGGAAACAGAATCAGACGATTCAGTGTGAGATAGAGGTAAGAAGCTAGTGGACAGCTGTTTTGCTTTTCTGATGTTCAGCTTATAGTTTAAACCTCAATATAAGCCTCTGGGTCTTATATTTTTCATGTTACAGACCATCTCATTAGGTGCTGAAAAAAATCTTTAACAAAATCCAACACCCCTTCATGATAAAATCTTGGAGAGATCATGGATACACAAGACATAAGGAAATATAATAAAGGAAAATTTCACCAAGCTGATAGCCAACATTAAATTAGAAAGAAATTCAAACAAGTCTGCTAAAATCAGGAACAAGACAAGACCATCCACTCTCTCCAAATCTATTCAATATGGTACTTGAAGGTCTAGCTAGACCAGTAAGACAGCTGAAGGAGGTCAAGGGGATACAATTTAGAAAGAAAGAAGTCAAAGTATCATTATTTGCAGATAATATTATACTATTCATAAGTGATCCCCCAAATTATAGCAGGGAACACCTGCATCTGATAAACTCATTTAAGGAAATGGCTGGATACAAGATTATCTTAAAAAAACAATCAGTAGCCCTCCTACATACAAATGACAAATGGGCTGAGAAAGAAATCAGGGAAACAACACCCTTCTCAATAGCTTCAAACAGTATAAATTACTTTGTGGGTAACCTCGAACCAAGCAAGTGAAAAACCCTTATGACAAGATTTTCAAGTCTTTGAAGAAAGAAAATGAAGAAGATATCAGAAGATGGAAATATCTTCCATGCTCTTGGATTCGTAGGATTAACATAGTAAAAATGGAAATCTTACCAAAAGCAATCTATAGATTCAGTGCCATCCCCATCAAAATTCCAATACAATTCTTTCCAGGCCTTGAGATAACAATACTCGACTTCATATGGATAAACAAGAAAAAATAGGATAGCTAAAATAGAAACAAATATGATTGGCAAAAATTCAATGAAATGATTCTTAATGATATTCTACTATACTTAGAGACAGGAGCCTCACATAAGCACCCTCAGAGAGCCTCCATTTAGCAACTGATGGAAACAGTTTCAGAGAGTCTCACCAAACATTAGTTGGAACTTAGCAAATCCTTCAGAAGAAGGTGAGGAAGGGTTGTTAGTTCTAGAAGGGAGAGGAACACCGGAACACCACAAGAAAACTTACAGAATCCACTAACCTGGACTCAAAAGGACTTACGGAATCTTAACGGACAATCAGGAAACATGCATGGAGCTGACCTATGTCCTCGGCATATATGTTACAGTTATGTAGCTTGGTCTTTTTGTGAGACTTCTAACAGAGGGAGTGGTGTCTGTTCCTGACACTTTTGCCTGCTTTTGGGACTCTCCCTCCTACTGGGTCTCCTCATTCAGTCTTAACATGAGGGAATGCAGCTAGTCTTATTGCAACTTGATATACCACGTTTGGTAGATATCCCTGGAAGACCTGAATTTTCTGAATAGAAACAGAAGAGGAGTAGGTGAGAGGAAGGAAGGACTGGGAGAGAATGAGGAAGAGTATCTACATATATATGGAGATGTAGTTAATGAATGAGTAGCCTAAATGTACTAAGGAAACTCAATTTGTAATCTGCTCCTTCCAACAAAGCAATTCTACAAAGTCCTATGACATTATCTTCAATAATAAATGTGAAATCTAACATTGTTTCTGCAGAAAGCTGCCTTGGAATATATGCAATCTGCTACAAAATTTAATATTATAAGGAATTTGTTAAACAAAAAGAATCAGATACAAAATTAGTATTTGTACTTTTTGTCTACTTAGTATCCTTCAATGATTGTTTTTGAAAAGATTCATTATTCAAATAAATAATGTAATTCGCTTTATGGTGTACACAATCATAATTCTATTTTCAAGTTATGAAATGTGGAATTACCTGGAAGACTCCAAGTGCAGGTGTTTTACTTGGTGAGCTTATGCTTACAAAGATATGTATACAAAGATGTGCAGTTATCTGCCAAGAGGCCAGAAGCTGACAGCACGACACAGTTATGTTCAACATGGGAAAACTCTGTTATCCTGCAATGTAGGAAATACAAAATTCAGGTATACTCTATGTGGATGACTTACTAAATGAATGACTCATGTATGTAAGTGCAGAAGAAGGAGCTCATGTAAGTCAGCAATGGTGTTTTCACTAATAGTGTGGTAAGGTAAGGACTGATTATTGTGAAAGCCAAGTAGCCCAATCTTCAGATTGACCTGGGCAGTTCACGAAGCTCAGCATCTTTCTGCCTGTCCATAGTTCAACGTCATTTACTGACACCATCCTTCTGGACTTCCTTGTGTGTTTTTTCTTGTCTATTGCATCATTCATGAAAACTTACTTTGGTTTGAAAGTTGAGTTTTTTTCCCAAATCCATAGTTGATTTCTGCTCTCTCTAAAGACTCCAGTCCATGAGACTAGTGATAACAATTTCAGAAAGTCCTGTCAGAGAAATAAGGAATTTTCATCAGTATGAAGGCTCTTACTAATTTTAAATAAAGAGTATTCTGTCATAGCATCATTATTGTCCAATACAAATCAAGTTATTAAATTTGAGAACACTTCTCACACTGCCTCCAAATTCACATGTGTGTTGAATTTTGATCTAGAATTAACTTTTAAATGTTTATATTTAGAAGTTTTATTCTTTTATTAGTGGGAAATCTGGCAATTGATTTATGTAACTTAATAGGTATTATAACAACACAACAAAACAGGGATTCAAACAAATTTCCAGAAACTGAATGAAATTCTTTGGGTGCTGTGCTCAAATCAACTTTCTACTGTTTCTCCCAGTTCAGTGTCAGAAGGAAGGTTATGGTTTGCTATTGAAGAAAGCAGTGCTATAGTGAACAAAGTTTCTGTTTTCTGGGTACCATACTATCACTAAGCAGCTGGAACTCCACTGTTATCTATCAACATAGGAGTGGATTACTGCAAAGGTAGTGTTAATGTTCTTCTCTTGGCTACTGTTATAAATGCAAGGGCAAGCTTGGAGAGTGATAATAAAAGACACAAGCAAAGAATTCTGAAGACCTGAAACAAAGAGCTGAAAGGGCTCGACACCTGAAGATGAGGGACTACAGAATGGCAGGTTATCCTGTGTCCCTTGTCTAATGGAAGGAAATATGCTTACATGCTCTTTCCTAGAACCCAATCGACAATAGGTGGATTATGGGAGCTCTCTCCTCCATGTGTAAGAGAGACTGGTTAGTAGCACTGGGCAAGGCTGAAAGCACTTAATGGAGTGATTGGTAAAGGACACCAGGGTGGGAGCTAGTGTCAGGGATCCCATGAGTATAAGTGTCCATGTAAGATGCCTCTGTCTTTGAGGACGTGACACTCACTTCTTCCCTCCAGGATCACAAGACAGAGTATCTTTTAAAATGTTATGCTTATATAACACTGCACTGATGATTATTAAACTGCAGATCAATGCAGTAAAATGGATCAATGACTTGCTCTAAGATCATGAAAGAGTAATGGTGGAGGTTCTCAACTTTCCAAATGCTGCAACACTCTAATACAGTTCCTCGTGTTGTGGTAACCCAAAACCATAAAACTATTTTTATTTCTATTTTATAACTGTAATGTTGTTACTGTTATGAATCATAATTAAATATCTGATATTTCTTATGGTCCGAGGTAACCCCTGTGAAAGGGTTATCCACCCTCAAAGGGATTGAGACCCATGGGTTGAGAACTGTTGGGCTATAGGATTTCTATGTAACAGTCCATACATATGTCTGACCCCTGTCTTATAAGAGTCAAAGGCATGAGCAGCTAATTCTTGCAAAAGTCAGAAAAAAAAGGTTTTGTGTGGGAAGACCTGATGAGAGTATGCATAGGGAAGGGAAACAAAGGGAATGGAAATGTCTGCCTAGATATCTGACTATAGTTACCTCCACCTAGTCACTTTTTGATGTGTTAAATGGTATACATGCATAGATTTTTTGCGTACTGTAAAAATTAAATGGTAAAGTTAATTTCAGACTAAATGCACTTGTACAAGAGTGGTTTTCATAAGATAAAAAAATAAAACCGAAAATAAATATTCAATACCAGTCCACAAATACAATAAAACATTGTAAAATAAAACAATGAAGTACCATATAAACCTATTAATTATATGAAACACATATAAGAATATGAATGAACTCTACACGTATCACATTGTTAGGTTAAGCAATGGTTGGCACGTGCCAGCTTTTACCTGCTCTTCTTCACTATCTATGTAAAGCAGAGTAGAGTCTTTGGAAATGCAGGACTCCAAACTGTCATTCCAAGTTTTTTTCTCCACACCAATGTAATAACAATTGTGGGAATAGGATATCCACTCCTTTGGACAATTGTCACAAGTGAGTGCTGAAGAAAGATTATTATTTAGATGCAACAAGAACTTTATGATGAAAATCAATGTTTTCATAGGTTTTAACATTCATGTAAAATATGTATCTACACAGCCTAGAGGTTAATAAATATAAAACAATGTACCCTCAAGCACACAAAGAAAAGATTATGCCCAAGACCCCATGTTTTTTCACCTATCTAAACTAAATAAACAAGTCTTTACCCTACAAATTTTTCAGAATCAGTGAACATAAGCTCTCTTTTGGAATAGTGAATCCATTTCTGTCTTACCATGGTTTACCAGTAGGAAAATTAAACTGGTTATTTTATTTGAGTTTTTCTATTGTGGGATAATGAAAAAGGTTATCACTCTTAATGTTTACTTATGAACATGTAATGTTCATGTTTCTAGATTGTTTTCTTCCTAGTAATGTACTATAATCTTTGCAAAGCTTTAGTCAGATACAAAATATAATGTGTAAAAACATCAGAACTTTGATGAGCAAGGTGTACCTTTCTGGTGACGGGAGGAGCTGTTCTGCGAGTTTGCTTCAGGATCTAGAGAGATAAAACAATTCCTGTGAAAGTAAACCTGCAAAATATGTAACAATTATAGTTTCTTAGTCTGAAGTTGATGTGCTATTTTGAATTAGGATGTAATGGATTACAACTGAAATTGTCAAAAAATTATATGGTGAAAACCTTAAAGAAAATTACTTCAACTGAAAGTTCAAATTTCAACATCTTTTACCCCATAATATATGACAAAACCACTTTCCAAAAAGTTTTCACATCTCAGTAAACAGTTTCCAAGGTTCTCAACTACGTGTTTGAGTTACAAAATCATTGGTAAAATCAAAAGTAAACATTTTATGCAATTTCTATGATATTCATGATATTGACAAAATCAAAATAACCATTCCACATTTAATCCAAACACATACTTTAAAATATAAATTAAAAGCTACCGCTCTCGATAAATTTTGAGAGGCACTTCTAGTCATTAAAGTGCAGAGTTCCTTTATAATCTTCTAAAAATATGCTTACATGGTGTGGCAACTGTTCTAATTACAACCACAGCGACCAGTAAGGCCAAGCCGATAATGCCCAGAATCCCAGTGATGAGTTTTTCTGGAGGAAATGGAAAACCTGGAGAAAGAAAATGGTGATAGTTCACAAGGTTTGCATGCACACACACCACACACACCAAACTCTGACCCCGCTACATCCTCCTCTGTATCGGTAGGGTCTGCAGGCAATATCATCACGTGAGAATGATCCGTAAATTCTGGCAACGGAGTGAAATCCACGCTCACAAATTATAAAAGCATGGGTCAAAGTAGAGCTCCAGTCCTCGCAAGGAGGCCATTGCCACCTCTGCGCCCACCTCTTCACGTCCCTGGCATCGTAGAGTCCTTACAGTGAGGGTCCACTCAGTGTCTCACCTTTGAAGCAGCAGTCCCTGCAGACTGTGGGATGCTCTTGACAAGCATTTTGAAAGCTGAATTCCGCATAGGTGATTTCCTGCTCAGTTACTGAGATGGAGCTGCCGGTGACTCTTGGTTTCCTTTGCTGTTTCCTTGAGTCCTTCACCACATTCAGTTCTGCATAGGTGACTCTTTCATTACTCATCTCTGCAGATGAATGATGCTAGGACCCGTGCGATGGCTGTTGTTCACAAGAAGGTACTCATTCTGATGCAGTCAAAATGGGTGGAGTCTGGAACATCGGAGCTCATTTTGCGGTTGAAATTTGTAGTCTAAGGTTTTTTCTTTTGATGTGCTGTGCTATAAACAAACAGAGTTTTGAAAGACAATCCGCTTTTGACAAAATTTTTTTACAGGATAGTAACTTGATGAGGAATAAAGATGTCTACAGACAAAAGAAATGTTTTACAAATTACACTTAGCTTTCATAGGACTAACACCATGAAATGTTGAATGCTTACATCAAAGATCCCTACACTGTAACAGAAAAGAATGTTTTGTTAATTTCTGTAACTTAAATTTTTTATTGTTTTGTGAATTCCATATATGAGTACCATATTTACATCATTTTTCATCTCCTCTTCCACTCCAGCCTGTCCCATGCACTCCACTCTCTCTTGAATCCATGACCTCCTCTTTGATAATCATTCTTACATATGCATATGTGCAGCCGCACACAATTTGCTGAACTTTTATACTAAATTGAAATTCAATAATGACTAAAAACTGAATGCTCTAAATAGGAAGGTTGATACACATATGCAAACATAAAACTAGAAATTACTTTAACTGCCTAATATATTTATAAAAGTAAATTGCATATTACATTAATTTTATTTGGAGTAATTGAGGAGTTCAGAGAAATGACTAAATATTTATGATATTGTAAGTGCTAGAACATGTAATGTCATAAAAATCTTGCCTGAAATAAACACTATCGGTAATACTTCAAAAGTGATTTTAATACCCCTTTTATTTGAAGAAATAATTATCTAACATGTGAAACCACAACATGATAAAAATGATTCATACTAGAATATCGATGGCTCAGACTTCCCCAAAGAGTCTGTGGTTGTCAAAATCAGTGTCGTTTTAGTAACATATAATACAATTGTAATAACAACATAATAGATAATTCAGTCAATTAGCCCAGGAATCAGTGAGTTCTAGAATTAATTGTGACTTTAAAACTTACCTGAGAAGTTACTAAAAACCTAGTGCATTCATCTAAAACATAAAAAATGTGAGGCAATTAATACTTACCTCTGGCATGCAGAGCTCTCAATAAACATTAGCTATTTAAATTACTATTTTATCTTAGTTTCTTCTATGATTGTTCTTCGCCAATCAGTGAGAGTCCCTTTAAGAACTTGTGACATCTGAGATAAATCCGTATGCTGCTATCCAAAGTACCAAAGACCACAAATCACTACACTTAAAATCCACATTTCTTCTTCAGGTCTTCTGTGACTGTAGGTTTAATTATGTTGATAAGGAAATACTCTCCATAGACAACAAGGACAGAACTTTGAGACAATCCTCCAAGGAATTCCATGTGCTTGGACTTATCCGAGTTGTTTAAAATCATCCACATTCCAGTTTGGTTACCTGCATCAGAACTGTTCCTCAGATGCTCTCCATGTAGCATTTGCAGTGTTCCCTTAACTGACTGGGCAGGTGGACACTAGGGAACAGTAAGAAGATCCCTCTGTTACTAGAAAGCCAAGCCTGCTGCAGTGAGGTGAGGAGCTCACAAGAGGCCTGTTGGAGGTGAGCTCCAAAATGTAAAAGTCTGTCACAGAAATCTAGGACAACAGAAACAGTGAACTAAGCAGGCTGCCCTCATGAGGTTTGCTGTGAGTCAAGAGTGGAAAAGGAGAGTTCTCACTAGTGTGTCACTGAAGGTTGAACAGGAAATTCTCATACTCGAATGATTTTGAAATCTGTTTTTCTTATCACACCTTTACTATATAGGACACTTTGGGTCCTGTCAAAGGGCTAAAGTGATCCTCCATGTGTGCTGTGTAGTGTGGTCTTTTCCAACTGTTTCCCTAAAACTATTTGGGTATGAGTAAGTTAAAGAGGTTGGGGCAGGGAGACTGGCCATGCATGGAGTTAATTGGCTTCTACATTGTTTTTTTTTTTCCAAGATAGGGTTTCTCTCTAGCCCTAGCTGTGCTGGAATACACTCTGTAGACCAGGCTGGCTTTGAACTCAGAGATCTGCCTGTCTCTGCCACTCACATTTTGGGATTACAGGTGTGGATCCCCACTGCCTGGATCATTATTGATTTTTAAACTGTGTCAGTTTATCAGAGATTAGAATTCTAAATAGCCTTTTGTTATTTATTCATTCATCTTCTGTAATTGTTTATATTTTAATAGGAATGTGTTGTTTTAAATAACAAAATCCAAGTTAAACTATGTAGCGAAATATACTGCATATAAAATTCTTATCTATGAGATATGAGCAGGTTGGGGGGTATTTTAAGGAGGTTCCTCCTCACATACCCTGATAGCAACAGTAATTTTGCAGCTATCCACAGGTAAAGGGGCATTTGTAGGACTTTGCAACTTTCATGTGGAACTTCATGTCACAGACAGATTCTTTGAAAAGGAATATCCATTCAGTGACAATTTTGTTGAATGTTGTCTTATCTCCAGAATCAAAACTGGTTTCATTCCTGTATCAGCCTGACTAGAACTCTGCTAGGCACTGCTAATTCCAAAACCACCTGCTTTAAGAGCTCAACTTTTGCTTGACACCAGTCTCACACCCAAAGGGCCCCTTTACTAGACATGCCCACTTGCATGCCCAGAGTAAGTCTGATGACCTTCATCCCACAACAGGTACTTAAATGGTTAGGCATTGTGTACATACATGTAATCCTGAGAAAGCCAGGAGGCTAACCTAGAGTTTAAGTGATCCTGCTCATTTGTATAAGGTCTGTGTTTGTTATGACTTATGTTGGACCATGGTGGCCAGGGTAGGATAAAAAAGGGCCAAGGAAAAACACATAACCCTGATTTGACCCCCAAGATCATGGCCAAGGAAAGAACACCCTGATCCAGACTTGATGCCAGGACTAGGGCTTGAAATCCGACCAATCCATGAATTCCTGAGCACAAATCCTACCAATCCCTGAATCTTCCCCAGAATCAGGCTATAGAAACCCACCAATCCCAAGCTACTCTGTAAAGTTATCCCCAAAAAACCCTTTATGAATTCTATACTCTGCTCACTTGGCTACTGCTTCTCATCCTAGAGAAAGACTTCCCCCAGGAATTTGTCTTTCCCAATAAATCTCTTGAGCAAGGATTGTACATGGCATGACACTTTCACAGGACCTGAAGAGCTATGACACTTCCACAGAATCAGGAGTGGAGTAGAACTGAAATATTTTCCTTGGGGGGAAATTTCCCTCAGTAGAGTAGTGCTGTAACACTTTTGCTGGGGAAACTCTCCCAGACAGGGGCAGAGTTGTTGCACTTGACATTGAGGAAACTTTCCTGGGAGCAGAGCTGTAACACTTACAATAACTTTGAGGTACTCCTTGGCTCCCGCCTGCCAGGATACCTTTCAATCAGAACTCCACTTCTTACAGTCAGCATGAAATGTTGAAATATAGGGGAATCTTGTGAAGGCAACTATGTCATGGGCCTCTATTTTCATGATAGAATTATTATTGTAGTTCTCATGAGACCAGATAAATTTCCTTCAGAACAAGCTATCACACCACGAATGTAGCATCCTTGTCTTATTCTCTTGCTTCTGCTCTCACCATGTGAGCAGTCATTTATATATACCAAGTGATATGGCATGTGGCTCAGACCAGAAGATGAGCAGTCGGTGACACCTTCCCAGCAACCAGACCACATGGGAAAAAGGCAGAACCAGAACTCTTTTTTTTAAATGAATTAACCAGCCACAGATTTTATCTATAGTGACAGAGATTAAGGAGATTAACCTCCGCTCAGCCCCTCACAATTGCAGCTTGGGAGCATCTCCACATACCCAGGAACCCAGAAGATCTACTCAGTATATGACTATGGGTCACGAAACGGCCCTATGATGCAGCTTCCTTCTCTCTGGGCTAGTCTGTACAGCCAGGAACCCACCAAATGGCACAACTGTCTTTGACCCCAAAGATAGTTGTAAGGAAAATGACTCTTACTGTAGATCACGTTAAAGAACCTGAGAACTCAGTTCCAGCACCCAAAAGCAGGGTCAGGCTACCTGCCAGCTACTTAGCACTTAACACAAAGGAAGCTCCCAAACTCCAAAGGAATTACAAGTATTCACACAACTAGCAAAAGTGGTGACACACGCCTTTAATCCCAGCACTCGGGAGGCAGAGGCAGGCAGATCTCTGTGAGTTCGAGGCCGGCCTGGACCGATAGCCTCCAAAACAATACAGAGAAACCCTGTCTCATAAAAACCAAAAAAAAAAAAAAGACTCACCATATGCACACCTGAGGTATATTACCTCAGCATCAGAAAACCGGAACATTCTAAAATGCCTGAGAGGCACTTGAGAAAGTGCTCAACATCCTTACCCATCTGGAAATGCAAATCAAAACAACTCTGAGATACCATCTTACTCCTGTCAGAATGGCTAAAATCAAAAACACCAATGACAATTTATGCTGGAGAGGCTGTAGTGAAAGGGGAACACTCCTCCACTGCTGGTGGGAGTGCCAACTTGTATAGCCACTTTCGAAATCAGTATGGAGATTACTCAGAAAAATGGGAATAAGCCTACCACAAGACCCAGCAACTCCACTCTTAGGCGTATATCCAAAAGAGGCCCATTCATACAACAAGGATGTCTGTTCCATTATGTTCATATCAGCATTATTTGTAATAGCCAGAACTTGGAAGCAACCTAGATGCCCCTCCACCGAAGAGTGGATAGAGAAAATGTGGTACATTTACACAATGGAGTACTACTCAGTGGAAAATAAAACCCAATGGAATCTTGAAATTTGCATACAAATGGATGGAACTAGAAGAAACCATCCCTGGTGAGGTAACTCAGTCACAAAAAGAGAAACATGGCATATACTCTCTCATATATGGATTTTAGACATAGATCTGGAGAGTGCCACCCTACAATCCCATGGCCAGACAGTCTAGGAAACAGAACCTTCATTCAGTGGCTGATGGAAGCAGAGGCAGACTCCCACAGCTAAACACTGAGCTGAACTCAAGAAATCCAGTGATAGAGA